CAGGGGCCGTATGCTCTCGTCTGGCGGGGCCTGCAGGAGCTGGAGGGGTCTCATGTTGCCCAGTGCTCCTGGCTCCCAGCCCCCAGCCCGGCCAGCACCAGAGCAGGTCGGTCTGCTGGGCCTAGGCCAGCCCTCCTGCTGCCCACGCACTGCGGCACAGGCCTGGAGCTGAAGGCCTGGCTGGTGACCACGCTCAGCCCGGAGCTGGGAGCCATGTTTCCTCGTTTCTGGGGCCTGCCTCGGAGACAGGCAGCACCGTGCCCTTCCAGAGTGCAGCCGGAGGATCAGCTACAGCACACTCACCCCTACAAGGTTTAACTGTGGCTGCAACTGCCCACGGTACAAACTCAGGCGACGTCTCCAGAGGTCGTGATAGCATGACTCATGGTCTCACAAGTTGTCTGCTTTCCACCTTTGAACACCTGAAACTTCCTTCCGCAGGATTCTCAGTTGTTTCCCCACTGTGTGGCAAAGTTTGTGCAAGTAGCTATTGCTACAAAGGAATAACCACCCTCACTGAACCATGTGTTATTTATTTGAGGTCGTTTTCCTGTAGATAACCAGGAGAAAAAGAACTAGAACCACCTTTAGTGTAATTTTCCTAGACGGGAATTTCAGAGGAACAAATCCCTGGATATCAGCTCTAACACAGACATTTCTCAGCTCTGGGAAAGCTGCTCTCACCCCGAGCACAGCAGCCTGCAGCCAGGGTTAACCAGGCCACTGGAAGAGAAAGCCCACAGAAAAACACCAGGGTCAGGTTTCCCCCACTCCGCATTTCGCACACCACTGGAGCCAAGGGAAGACAGGGAAGCTCCAAGGGAGCCGAGGGAAGCTACTCCCTGAGCACCGGGTGGCATACTAGATGACTCCACCTCCTTACAAGCCCAGATGCTCTCCAGCACATACAACGCAGGGGATGAGGCGTTGCTTCAGCAGTTGCTTTCAGAGAATCCCCCTTTCATCACATCCTTTCAGGCTGACAGTGCATTTCTCCCCACTTCAGTGAACTGGGGGGGAAGCCGACAAAAACGTGAGACTTCTTAGAAATTAAACCATTTGCCCCACCTTTCTCCTGCACTCAGGAGAGCAGATCCAGCTCAGGCTGGGAAATCACAGCTCACCATCAGTAACCTCCCTGTGACCTCTTTCACCGTCCACCTACTTGGTGTTTAGAGCTAATCACTCAGTAAACCCAAGCTATCTCCACCTTGGAGGGAGCAGAACAGGGGATGTATTTGAGCCCCAGCTTTACAGCAGACCCAATGGAAGCTGCAAAATCATAGAATGGTTTGGGTTGGAAGGGACCTTAAAGATCATCTAGTTCCAAAGCTGCTTCCACTCTGCACATTCTCTTCCAGAGGCACAGATTAAAGTAGATCGACTGCTGGGTCTTCTCCTCCATCTAAAAGTAAAAGCCAAAAGCATCGCTTCCTTGAGAAAGTTGTGGATGCACGGGCAGAACAGGGGCAGAGCGTTAGCAGTAAGGCAGTATCCAGTCCCAGAACTGTCCCGGTATTTAGCCATGGAAGGACACAAAAAGCAGGCAGAAGCATTTTCACGTATGCCGAAACTGAATCTCACTATGAGCCTGACTGATTTCAGCCCACTAGCCATCTTCAAAAATCCTGCACAGCCTGTGATGATGTTGCCGTGTGCCAGCTGCCGAGATTCCAGAGGAGCCGTACTGAAGGCACTCTGGAAAGAATCAGACCCGGTTAAGATTCACGCTGCTAGAAGAGGACGGGCGCCCTCGCGCTCACATTGCTGCAGCCACGTGAGATGCAGCAGTGAGGTGAGTACGAGCTGCCTGGACAACTGTGCAGTCAAATAGGGCCAAGGAGAAAGTCTGCCAGACGTGCCACCCAGACGTTCTCGAGCAGCTCTTCTCTAGCACGCTTCTGCAGCAGCGGATTAACGCCGACTTTGGCTGGGAGCTTCAGTCACCTCTGTGAGGATGCCTGGGCCGTAGGTACAGCCAGGGCACAATCCACAGCCCTTCCCAGGGGCTGTGCTACTGATTCCTAGGGATTAAACCCAGCCTCCTCTTAACATCTATACATAAAAGAATCTTCTTTACCTAAATGGATTAATTAAGAACACTATAAACCACACATGCAAAGCCACTCACACTGCCAGATGAACTGTGTCACCCCAGCCTGGCAGAGGAAGCACCAGGCTGTTCCTCACGCACTGTGCAGGGAAAACATGAGCCACTCTCTGTCCACACATCTGAAAGGCACTGAGCTGAGGTAGCATGGGACACCCTGGCTTCTCCGTTGACTAGAAGAGCACACACAGATCAACAGGACCAGAGGAGCTTTTCTTCTGCATGACCAGCACCGAGAGGTTGCTTATCCCCTTGCCCTAGCAGCTGTTTCAGCAGAAGGGAGTTTGACAGTTCCTACCCTCACAACAGCAGTCAGAGCTGTACCAGAATTCCTCACTGTGGCAGGGGGGTCTTCAGATCACGCACAGCAAAGTGCTGCTTTCTCCTGAAGCCATGACTACAGCTGTTCCCTTTTAGTGAAACTGGCAGTCACTGGTCTTAAATAAGGCACCCCAGCAGCCACACAGGGAAGCTTTCTAAAAAATGCCCTCTGACTGGTCACTTTGCATTTGTTCTATTGATCCACGTCTCCCTGCTCTGCTGCAGAAATCAAATACAGAACGCTGGCCTGAGAGGAGCAGCATGAGTAACACACAAAGCATAGAAGGCGAGGCAGAAACAAGACTCCTATTCCCACCCTGCAGCAAGACATCATTCTGGGAAAGCTCTGCCAGCCTCATCCAGGATCTTTCTGAACAACATGAAGGCACAGCAAGCCCTCACAAGCTTACAAAATTCCTCAGAGCTCTTCCACAGTGCTCAGCAGCTGCTGATCATGCAGACCATCCTGTACAGGGGCTCTACTTGCTGTGCAGTTCACTGACCAAGACAGCCTCGCGCTCGAGGATCAGCTGTAATAGCGCTGCAATCTCCCTGAAGTCAGCCAGTCAAAAGCAGCAGGTTGGAAACAGCCAGGAAAGCAGCCAGGCCTCTCGCCCCGCCTCACTGGACTTCATCTACATGCAGAATTGCAAGAGGTGAAACAGCTGCACTTAAACCCTCTGCGCAGGACCCGCTTGGGTGTTGGCTTTACAGAAAACCTCTGCACACAGCACAACAGATGGAAGCACGAATTTTACATGGGCGGTATGAAGACCCCATGGCCCTGAAACAAACACCCTGACCATGAACCAGTCGCTCTGGTTAAGAAGAGGTTAGTGACAAACCTGCAAATGCTGTCTGACACTTCCAAAGCTTTGATCGTGATTGCACCATTCCCAATCTGATCAGAGAACACACAGCTGCCCTGCATCCTAAGCGCTCACTCCTTGGCCCAGGGCAAGAAATGCCATTATCAGCACAAGGTCCAGGCAGTAATCCCAAATCCAGGCCTACTCTGCAGGCAAATCTCAGATACCTGTAATGGCAAGGGTGGATATTTTACAGGGATAGAGCTATTATTGCAAAAATGCCAAGAAAAAGCAGCATAACTCCTCTCTGGCTGTATTGGAAGGGGCTGTACTGACAGGACTGTATCCATACTGGGACACAGGCTGCATAGGAAGAACAAAGCTTATGCAGCCTGCCTTCCCCAAGGGCAGGGCCTTCCCAAGGAAGGACAGCATAATAATCCTTCAAGTAAAACCCCTGGATTCCTAAGCTCATGGCCATCTCCCAGCTGATATTATCAGAAAGACAAAGGAAACAAACTTGGTAAACTCTTCACCCTCCCTTCCCACTGCAGGTAACAAGCTGGTACTAAGCACCCCACACATGACCTTACGGCTTGCCCATGACATTCCCTTCACTCTGAGCTGCAGTTTCCTTCCTCCTCCTTCTGCAAGAATCAAGATTTGCTCTGCCAGCAAATACCATTATGTGTGGTGACTTTTTTGCTCAATGGATCATGTGGCAAAGATGGGGCAGAATTGTCCCCCTGGTTCACCTCAGAGCAATTGGCCACTTGCACAATATCCAGGGTGGCACAGACCCTGTGCTGAGATCAAAGCTGATGGTGGAAGGTGGAGTTTACGAAGCTGGTTGCCACACCAGTCGGTCAGTCACTTTCCACCCGACAGCCTAATTTAAAGGACAGTGCTAAACTGGAAAAAGGAATGAATGCAAAGCCATGGGTTTTAAGAGAGCACCCTATTTACAAAGGCTGCATTCACCTTTGGGGATAGATGCACTCTGTCTGTGCCTGCTGTTCAAAGCAGCTTGGGATCTTGCAAGGCGGCAGCTACACGCGTCCCTCCCCTGGGACTGCAAGGGGACTGTGGCAAGGCTGCTGCAAAGCCTTGCTGGAGGGAGTGCTGTGACACAGAGACACCGGGGATGAGCATCTGGCTGTACTCCAGGCATGTCATTAGCAATCAGGAATCGGTAAGCTGTGAGGGCAATGAGTCCTCCGCATCAGCAGGGGGAAGGACATCCCGCTGGACATCTGCCTGCTCCCAGTATCGCCCCTTCCCACCCGGCTGCGGCCGGGCCCAGCCACCCCACCTCCGGATAATGGGTTGAGGGGGGCCGTGGCCCCCGCCCCAGCGCCACCTGCCGGCCGCGGTCCCGGCTCTGCACTTACCGTCTGCCCTCAGATGAGCTGCACCGCTCCCGAGGCCACCAGCGGGGCAATGGTCCGGTAGCGGATGAGGTGCTGCGAGCCCTCCTCCAGGTCGATGGTGTACTCCCTGTCGGGACAGGTGAGGTTAGGTCGCTGCTCCTGTGAGACCAGCTTAGTTACTTGAGCCACGCGGGGAGGCACCCACCTACCTCTGCTCATCCGTCTCTGGCTCCACCAGGATGTTCTCCTGCCGCTCCAACACCCTCAGGAACACAAAGGAGTCCAGGTTGGGCTTCGGAACTGCAGACAGGAGATTCAGAGCACAAGATCAGCACTTGCCACGTTCCTCTGCAGGACACTGAGCTAACAGAGGGCTCGTGGCTAGGGAAGGGAACGCCAGACACTCCCGATCAGGCATGGTGTGTGCTGCCTCAGCCTAAGGCAAGACTCGCTGGCAGGGCCCAGCGGATCCTGACAGCGGCACAAGGGGCCGCAGCATCGAGCCACGTACCACAGAGCAGCATTAACGGCACTGTCATCACATCATCTTTGCTTCTGCTCAGCACCTGCCGAAGGGCTAGCCCTTAACATTTCAATGCTCCCCAGGGCTCTCCCCACATCCCCACTCCTGTAATTCTCAGGGTACGCTGAAGCCTGCATGTACTCACCTGATTTTAGGAGAGACACTTTCTGCAGGTTGGGCGGCATGTGTTTTAGGGCCACGTTTTTCAGGTAAGTCTCTGTGTTTGCCATGTACCTGAAACAAATCATTGGAGCATTTACAGGTTTAATCAAATACAAATTTGCAGGGAGAGTATTGACTCAACACGCCAGGAAGTGACATCTGGTCCCACAGGCATACTGGGTCTGTGTGGTGGGGTTTTGGTAGTGGGGAAGGGGCCACAGGGATCGCTCCTGTGAGAAGCTGCCAGAAGCCCGCCGGGCTCCAAGTCAGACCCGCCTCTGGACATGGCTGGGCCCGTTAGTGCCTCTGTGATTAACTTATTTATGATGGGAAAACAAAGAGATCTCGGGAAGGAGTGAGACAACTGGGCAGACACCGAGGTCATTGCAGAAAGGTGGGGAGGAGGTGCCCACGACACATGGACAGAGACAAGCCTAATGGCTTGCCTTGGTAACTGGCTCAGAGTTAGCAGTTATTTCATCTTTTTCCTTGTCCATAAGGAAACCTCCTGGTAAAACCTGTCTAAGACTGAGAGCCTCAAGAACTGTTCAGCATAACACACAGATGAGTTCTATAACCTATGAAAAGGGAGAGAGACACATCCAAACCATACTCACTCTTTAGCAAAAGCAAACTCCTCTGGTGATAGGATGGAAGGCTCCCCTTCAGCTCGAGACTTCTCCTTCTCCAGGACATGGGGGAAAAACTTCTCTATCTGTTATTGGAACAAAATCCCAAAGACTGAAACCAACCTCTCCCAGTAGATCACTGCCCACGGTCCCCACTCCCCAGAGGCTTCCCCTGCACGCAGCAGCCACAGGCCTGTCCAAAGAGCTGCTCCTGAATGAACAGCGATATAGTCAGCTGGGGGCTCCGAGCTGCACAACCATATGTGTATGTGGCAGGACCCAGGCAGAACACACAAGCATTCAGCTGTGCCACCCTGGAGTTGGACAAAGTAAGAAAACACTCAGCAATGCTGTAATCCTCCCTCATCACAACCGACAAGCACGTCCAAGGAACAATTCCTCTGGGTTGTGCTTCAGAGGACAGGGAGAGCGCGCATCAACTAAGTGCCTTGCTGAAGCTGGAGGCATTGTATGGGTAAAAATCACGGCTGAAGTCACCCTGGGCAGCACAAGCAAGTACTACCTTGACAAGCCTACATCGCAAGTAGCTGCTGAGCACGTAACGGATCCTTTCAATCTCCATGCGGTGAACGCTGACCTTCAAGTCTCCTCTCTTTGCCCGTTTCAGATTTGCCTCCTGCAAGAAAATGCAAAGAGAAATTAAACGATTGAAATGTCAAACAAGAAGAAACAGAGAGGAACATGGAGCTTGTACATAGGGCCCACAAAAACAGCCTGCAGCTGATTTTGGTGACGCAAAGCACAGTTCCCTTGTATCTCTCAGTTCCCTCTCCAAGACAAGCTCCAAGAAGCTACTCAGAACAGCCTATCTCAGGGACAGAGAAGCAGACAGTCCTGGCAATCCCAGAGGGACCCAGACGTGCATGTGTCTGGTCAGGCAACCAGGTACCACCACCTTGGCCCAGAAGAACCTACCATATGGTCCAGCTGCTCCACAACACACTCAATGATCTCAGGTTTGCTCTCCAGCAGCTCCGGAGCAAACTTCTCATTCAGCCAGGCCTGAAAGAAGGCACACTGTAAGTCGAAGCAAGGAACACACCTGCTATACATCCCAGCCCCTAGAGAGGTCAGAAACTACACCCTCCCCACCTCCTCCAGCTGCCCCACAGCTCCCCCAGAGAGCCCAGGGCTCAGCTTTCAGTCCCCCCAAGAACGCCCAGGGGCCCGGCCCTCAGCCGCTCTCCCCAGCGCACACTACCTGCTCCAGGCTGCGGATGAGCTGCGCCGGGGTGAGCACCAGCTCCTCGCTGCCCCCATCCGAATCCGCCTCCACCCCCTCCGCGCTCGCCGCCGCCATCCCGCCACAGTCTCCCGCCACCAGTTTCGCCCCTCCGCGCATGCGCAGTCCATTGCGCACGGACGCGGCGCGGCAGTTTGACCCCTACACTACGCAGGCGCAGCCCAGGTGAGCCCCACTACGCATGCGCTTCACCCCAGGACAATGGCGGCGCTCAGGACGTTACGGCTCTGTTCGGTGGAGTGTCGCGACAGGCTGGTGGGAAACAGCCGGATTAAAAGCGGAGAAAACGGTTACTGCTTAGAAACCACTTCTTTGACCACAAGCAGCGACCTGACAGGAGAAAGGCCCAGGCGCCGTGCTGGGGGGAGAGCCCAGCACTGCCTGCAGGGACCCGCTCAGCCAGCCCAGGGAAGCTACTTCAGAGAGAGCAAGGCTGCTTTGGTTGTGAGGGGGTAGGTGCAAACGTGTTTGGTGCAAGGGGGAGCAGGAGAGCGAGTGTCTGCATTACAAACCCACCACCATCACAGATGCACTTTTATAGTCACACTTCAAATTACAATCGATCATGAACACGGGCTTTTACCCACAGTAAACCTCATCAAGACAAAATGATGTGACATGACGCTAGCTCTGTTCATTCACAACCAAGATCCTGCTACTGCAGGAGTAAAAACCTCACCGATAGCGCTACTTTGCGCAAAGCAGCACTATCACATATGACACAGACACAGTTTAAGAAAAAGTTTACTAATCCATTAGTACTTCTGCCAATATTGCAACAGATGTGAAAGGCAAACACTGTTACAGTTTAGAAAAAACAAGTTTTATACAATTAAAATATTAAACAAAACTAAAAAAAAAATAATATATATCTGTGGCTGAGAAATAAGCCTGGAATTTCAGATCCAGTATTAGCACCTACAGTGCCACCGAAGCCAAAACACTCCATCCGCTTAAGTCTTCCGCTTTTCTAACTGCTTGAATTCCTTCTACAACAGGACAAGGACACTCAGAACCTAAACCAGGGCATCCTCGCTCTGATAAGGGAAAAGGGGTAGAAGAGAAATAGATTAAGCCAGCTTGGTTGTAGGAGCTTTACTTTTGCAGGTCTTGCTGCG